GGCGAGGCGAGGCGAGGCGAGGCGAGGAGGGGAGAGTTCACGCTGGCGGCTGACCAGCACGAGAGGAGTCCTTGTGGCTTTGGAGCAGAACTGAAGGTTTTGCCCCTTCCCTCTCTCTCTCTCCCTCTACCTGGAAAAGCCAGTTCTGAGGTTACTGCTTGCTGATCAGCCCATCAGAGCCATTGTTTCCTCCTACCCCCGCTCGTGAAACGAGTATGATGTGGAGAAAATGGAAGTGTGCCTGATTCTGTTGGAAGGAGTCAGGCTGGCCCTGAAACGTTACCTGCTTGTTCTCCCTCAAAGAGAATTGATCTCTTTAATAAAGATGTCGTGTTGCCTACCTTTACATGTGGCGGCATTACTAGAAGTTACCTTGTTAGTCAATTTGTGCATGTGTGCAAGCAAATGTAATTGGAGGGACTGGATGCAATGGGCTTTTAGAGACCTTGCTTCTCAAAATCTAAGTAATAAATCGCTGAGAAGCAGCATCACCTCTGATTTAAGTGGAGGGACTGCTCTGCAATAATTCATTTAGTCCTGCAACTATAGCATGGGTTGTGATACTGAAAAATCTTAGGAATGCCTGTGTTGTTTTTATTCTTTGCCTTAATAGATTCATGTTAAATACCTGGGGCTGGATTTGGTTCTTATTACAGCAGAGTAAATGTGGAGGACCTTCACTTACGTGAACCCTCAATTTTATAACAGTAGGGTATTCAACAATTCAGTGCGTTTAGAATAATGATGATTTGGAAACTATAGTGTTGTTCCAAATCTGGACTAATTCCATTAAAATTCAATAGATCATACTAGATCTAGAGTGATAAAAATCTGAGAGAATTTGTGCCTTGTATGATTTTTTTTTTTTTTTTTTTTTAAAGGAAACCACACTTGGAGATAGGGTACAGTTGTGATAAGCTGTGGATTTGTTGTTGTTGTAGAAATACAGACATAGTTTTAGAAACAGTATTTTAGCCAATTACGGTATTTATGTAAGATCCTGCTTCCACTATAATCAGCGGTCAACCCCTGTAGATGCTTGAGCAGTCCTACATCTATTATTGTGCTTTGAATATTTGTGGAACAAAAGCCAGTTAGCAGTGATAAAGTCAAACAGGATAAAACATGCAAGTGCTAATGTTGTCTTAATGAACTGCAAGATAGGATGCAGTATATGCCTCAGTGAAATATTTAATTTTACTGAAGTGAGTAGTATTAGAGACTCTAGTGCCATTACTCAAATGTGCAACATTAAGCATATGTGCTATGTTTGCAGGATTGGAATTATAATCTACATAAATACAGATTTTATGTAGGAAGTAACCAAATAGTAACTAAGCAGTTTGTCCAAATTGCTTTGAAATAGAAAAGAAAAACTTGGAAGTCAACATAAACATGTCCATGTGGTGACGTATGGGACCAAATTCTGCTAGGTTTATTGATATTGGGTGGTACCTTATTCCACTTGCAGGCTGGCCTTGGGAAAGCAAGCGCCTGCTTGACTTTAGTGGGAAATCTGTTTTGCATTACAAAATATAGGATTTGTTTCATAGAAACACCTTTCTTTCCTGATTTAGTGCAGCAGATTAAACCCTGGTGCAGAAAAGTCAATGGAGGTTTTTTCCACTGGCTTCCATGGCACCAGGGTGTTGCTACCAAGTTAGTTAGTATGTTATGCTGAAGGAGATCATCTGATCACAGATATCATAGAGTGTGTGTGGTTTTGTTGATTAATCCTATTTGTTTGCTGATATACTGGCTAATCTTCAGTACTATACAAAAATCCCAAATATTATCTATTCATTTTAAGTTAGAAGGTTCTGAATAAATACGATTTAGTCGAAATGTATTAGAGGAACAAGATCCTTCCATGCATATTTCGGCTGAGTAGTATCTTAAATTTTTGAGCAGTCCCATTGAAAGCTATGGAGTTACTCATTGAATAAAGTAATACTCCAGTAATACTGGAAGTAAAGCTGTCAAGTCAGTTTTATAATTACATAATGTAAAGAGTAATCCTGAGATTTAAAAGCATTTTGGTGTAGGCCCCATCCTGCAATACTTGATCACAGATTTGGTCCTCATATTGTAAGATTTTTGTGAGATTGGACTCACAGAGTTTAGTAAACCACACAACTGCAGAGTGATTAAAATCCCCTGCAATTGCTTTTAAGAAATTGCTAATGTCACCATGATCCCAATAATACACTGTATGTCACAGTATTAAAAATATGTTTTCTGATGCACTGTGTAGTAAATGCTGAAGATGCCTTATTATTTCACAAGGGATTTTGACTTTTCATTGAAAACCATTCAAGTTTCTAAATCTGCAAGGGCAAAATTTAGGTTTTCTTTAAGGTATTGTTTTCTCTGTGATTATTATATACATATAACAAAATAGTCTTTTTTGTTTGGTAGTTGAATTGTTTCTATGTATACTGATGAGTTGCCATTTCTGTAGAGTGTATACACAGAACTGGAATAAACTTGGACTCAAACCCATCTCTGCTGTAAAATTATGTGCAATACATATGTCCTTGGCATCTCATCAATATCAGATGTAAAACTGTCTCAAATACACTTACTTCAGAATGGAACAGTTTCCAAATAAGTAACTGAAAGGCATTTCAAAGACTTTTTGATTTATCAAATTTTTCAGAACTATTATGCCAATGAACAGGCCAACAGTCTAGTTATTATCGAACTAGACTTGACTTTTGGTCAAAAGATACATAAGCAATGAGAGGGAAAATCTGATAAGATTTTGCTGCAGGTATCCATATCATACTAATTTTCAGGATTTCTAAATAAAACAAACATGGAGATAAATTCTGCTGTTTGGTCATGCGGATTAGATCTAATTATTCTCCATTTTGTCTATTAGATTTCTGCATTGTTTGAAGAAGAACATGGGCATAGATTTATTTTGATGGCATTGGCTGAAATTCTGTCAAATATTTTATTTTCTATCTAGATAATTTGCAACATAATATGGGTACACTGCAAAGAGAGAATAAGGATCAAGCCATTCCTTATCTAGTTTCTGTGTAGAAAACTAAACGCTCTGGTATTACAACTATAAACTCTTCCATTAAACAAACTTTAATCAAATATTTTTGTTATACTTTGGAATCGGGAGCAAGCTTGGAAGACTTAAATTTTGCATTTGCAATCCAAAACTTTTTTCCATGGATATCTTTCATGTGCATCTGTTTTTGGTCTTTCTGGCTTGTTTATGGTATTTACAGTTTCCCAGCAAAGTAATTCTTTTTTGCCCTATCTCAATGCAAACTCTTTCAATCACTGATCCAGTTTAAACCATTCAGCAGCACTAAAGTGATTTATTTAGAGTTCATTTCCCAGGATCAGATTAGTTTTAAAATTCACTTTATCTAAATGTACACATTAAAAAAATCGAACAAACAACCTTGATTTAAAATCTCAATTGTAAGATAGAAAGAAAACAGTCCTATCTTAAATACCTGTAATCTCCCTTTACGCTTCTGGAATTAGGATCGTGTTTTACAGAGGGAGAAAGACGTTGGGCAAGCTATTATGATTAAACAACTAGATCTATTCTTAAATATTACCATTTTTACACATCTTTAAAATATATTCTGGCAGTGTTTCTTGCAAATCCAAACTTCTGTAGCACAAGTAATTCATTTTCATTTACTATTAAGAGTTTGGTGTACAGCATCCTGTGTTAGACTGTCACTAATATATGTGTATATTAAGTCTGTCTTCCTGAGCTTGTCTGTCAGTCTGTCTATTATTTCTATTTGGATTATACAACCTATCGTGCCAACTTTAGCTAGTCACGGATGCTTCATTGCAAAAATATTTTGAGTAGAGGAACATTTTCCACCCATTTGTTAAAATAAGAAAGGCAGCTATATACTTTTGTAAGCAAAAGAGTCATCTTTTGTAAGCAAAAGAGTTATTGCTGGGATAGCTGCTAAGGGATAGTTATAATAAAGCGATCACTATGTTCTGATGTACTTTATTTGGATGTATAGAGCCATATTGTAATGATGGAAGTAGAATTGTTCTGAATTGGCAAACTATCAGAAAGAGTTCCATTTCCTAAATAGCTGCTATATAAATGTATCCTGACAATTTCAATTTCTTCTTTTTTTAACTGTGAGGGAGAAGTTTACTTTGTGGCTATTCTTCATAGTTCACTTCATAGCTCTTTTTGCTCCCTTGAGTGAACACAGTAAAGATAATATTTTTGTAATATGTGAACACTGATACACAATTGGATAAATTATATACTTGTGTGTGTGAGGGACATGTTGAGTAGAATGCCTCATTAGTGCTTTTAGTAATCAACCAATCAAGCAAACTCTGATATCATGTCCTACCTGTGAGACAAGAGCACACTTGATATTAATAAATGGAAATGCTGATGGGTCTCTGTTAGTTGAGAGTCCTATGAGCAATTGGTGATACAAGTCAAAGTGTCTATCTGGAAGGAGATCTAGAAGTTATATATAATTCAGCTTGCATAGTTACAAAATTTGTAACCTCAGGCCCCATTAAACAATCCTGTTTCCTCTCTCTCACTTCTTTCTGCCCTTTAAGCTCCCATCCTGTTCCGGTTTTATTCTATCCCATTTC